GCCTGTGAGCGCGGGGCAGTACGTGGTCACGACCGCTTCCAACCTGCAGAACCAGCAGGTGCTCACGGGCCTGCCGGGCGTTATCCCAAATATCCAGTACCAGGTCATTCCCCAATTCCAAACCATCGATGGGCAGCAGCTCCAGTTTGCCACCACCCCTGCCCAAGTCAACGTGCAGCAGGATGCCTCTGGTCAGCTCCAGATCATCCCCGGCACGAACCAGCAGATCATAACGAGCCGAGCGGGGACGAGTAACCTCATCGCCATGCCAAACCTGCTGCAGCAGGCCGTCCCCATCCAGGGCGTAGGCTTAGCCAACAACACCCTCTCAGGGCAAACCCAGTACGTGGCCAACGTCCCCGTGGCTCTGAACGGCAACATCACCTTGCTGCCGGTCAACAGCGTGGCCGCCAGCCTCCACCTCTCAGACGGTCACGTTGAGCAGCTCCGGCTCTCCGGACAGCAGCTCCCAGCCGGCCACCTCGGGCGCAGCCATCAGTTCCACCAACACGGCCACGTCTCATGCTAGTTCCGGCGCCTTTTTTACCAACGCCAACAGCTACTCCACCACCACCACCACCAGTAACATGGGCATCATGAATTTTTCCACCAGCGCGACGGTGGGAACCAACGTCCAGGCGCAGACACCCCAGAGGGTCAGCAGCGTCCAGAGCTCGGACTCTCTGCAGAGCCAAGTTTCTGGGGTGGCTTTGCAGCCGGGGCAGCAGAAAGAGGGGGATCAGAGTCAGCAATCGCAGCAGCAGCAGCAGCAGATCCTGATCCAACCTCAGCTAGTCCAAGGAGGGCAGACAATCCAAGCCCTCCAGACCACCCCGCTCTCTGGCCAGACCTTTGCCACTCAAGCCATCTCCCAAGACGCCTTGCAGAACCTGCAGCTCCAAGCTGTCCCCAACTCCGGGCCCATCATCATCCGAACGCCCACGGTGGGTCCCAACGGGCAGGTGAGCTGGCAGACCATCCAGCTCCAAAACCTTCAGGTTCAAAACCCCCAGGCCCAGACAATCACCTTGGCCCCTATGCAGGGAGTGTCGCTGGGGCAGACGGGCAGCACCAGCACCACGCTCACCCCCATCGCCTCCCTCCCCAGCGGCACTGTCACGGTCAACGCTGCCCAGCTCTCCTCCATGCCAGGCCTCCAGACTATTAACCTCAGTGCCTTGGGAGCGTCTGGGATCCAGGTGCATCAGCTGCAAGGGCTGCCGCTTGCCATAGCAAACACTGCCGGTAAGTTGTTTTGTCTCGGTTCCTTTCCGTAGCCGGGCAGAGGAAATCGAAGGCCAAACGATGTTGCCTGGCTGCAACGCAGCTGGCTCCGTGCGCCGTCTGGACTCTGGGGTTCAGGGCGCTGGCACAGCCGTGCCAGGGCTAGAGCTGGGGGTGATGGGTGCCAAACCGAGTTGGCAAGCGGGCTGGTGCTTATGCTGGCCCTGGGAAGGAAGTATTAAGCCTCTGCCGATCGCCAGAAAACACTGAAACTCATTTTGGGGAATTTCTGATCTAATTAACTCTCTTGGGTGGCTGATTACATGAAAAGAAACAGAGGAGATGCCTGTGAATGGGGAAGGAGGGAGATGTGCAGAGAGGAGAGGCAGGGGAAAAGGAAAAAGCTGCGTGTCGCTAAAGGTGAAGCGTGGTTTTGTGCGAGGCCGCTGTCCTGCCCCGACAGCCACCCCGGGGTCTCGGGTCGGGGTTGGGGAGTGGAGCCGAGTCCAGCTCAGCTTCTCGGCTGTGGGAGTCCGCAGAAAGAGTCACAGCCTTAAAAACCTCAGGAATAACTTAAATGCCCTTGCCCTCCCCCTAGAAAACAAACAAACAAAAAGCCCTGGGGAATTTCCTTGCAGGGGCGGAAGAACGGGCTCTTTAAGTATATATTTAGCCTAAAGTTGGGTGCTGGTGTGGGACGCTGTGATCTCATCCTGCCCGCGTTCACGACTGGCGCAGAGCTCCCTGCTCAGTTCCCCCCCGGATCGGTCCCGTCGTCTCCCAAAATCTCCCACCAGCCCAGGGTGGGGGTGTGTGGACGCGGGGTGTGAGCTTGAGGCTGCTCGGCTTCCCTTGGAAATACCGTGCCTGCCTGTACGAGGGGGCCGTAAGCTCCCGCTGTGGAAGAAATCGGTGCCGAAAAGGAGCTCTGCTTGCTTTTCCAGTGTTTTTCTTTTCTTTTTTTTTTTTTTTGTTCTGGCTCCAGCTAAAAAGGCAGTTGCTCGATTTAGTCACAGCTGAGAGGCAGCAAAAAATGTTGCTCAATCTGACTCGTGCTTCCTTCTCGCGAGAGGAGGTGGCTGCTCTCCTGGAGTTGTTTTGCAGCAGTATTTTGGGCTGTTGCTACAGCAGCTTGGCTTGCAGGCGTCCGTGGGTTTATTACAGCCTGCGCCGCAGTCGGGATTAGCCTGATCCTTGGATTTCCCCGAGCGGAGAGACCCGCTTGTGCTAGAGCACGCTAGTTTTCGCACCCAGAGGGGAGCTGGTGGCGCGTCACCTCTTTTATACGTGGAAATGCAGGTGGTGAGGGGTCTCTTTCGTCTTCGCCTGCCTGGGTTTGGTGGGATCCCCTCGCCCTGCAGCCCGGCGGGGCCGCTTGTGTCGAGGCGTGCTTGTTTTGAAGGCGCCGGAGAAACGCATGGGCAACTCCTAGTTCCTGTATTTGTGTCTGGCTCTGCCCTCGGAGGTGGGGCAGGGAGGAACGCTCCAGAGACCACCCATCCAACGCGCTCTCGCTGGGGAGCCGCCGCCTCCTCCTCCTCCTCCTCCTCTTTTTTTTTTTTTTTTTTTTTTCCCTCGCGGCTGTTTTTGCATTA